TCCTATCCTTGGTCCTACACACAGGAACCTTCAGCTGACTGCCCAGTTTGTCTGTTAGTACTTCCTTCATTTCTATTATTAACTAAATATTTTTCTATAAATAATATGGTCGCTCTAGATTGGTAATGAAATGTATAGTGGCTCCTCCAAGACCCCTAAAAATAGTATCTCCAAGGCCATAGTGTGGTTTTTATAACTACCTGGTCTTATCAGCATACGCAGAAGGAGGCGAAGCCAGATCACGCTCGCAAAACGTAGAATCATTTTACTTTGGCAACACAGCCGGACAGCCATAGCGTCATAGAGAATATTTAATCATCAATAGAAACTGGATAACTCTCAATTCACGAATGTAGTGGGGGCAATGTCCAGAATGCAATTAAATTAGCAACAAAATTGGATGGTACTAGTTTGGAACATATGAGAAGTGTCTGAAAGTAAGAGAAGATTTTGCCATTTAATTGGCAATTATACGAACCGATAGCTGAGTTTCCAGCAGTGATATGAGGAAAATGGCTAATAATTGCATTAGTTCAAGTCGCTTGACAAGCACCGTTTGCTGAAATCACCCAGGCGTGATCGAAACGACCGTCTAGCGTGTTCTGCACATTTCATTGTGAAAAACCTTCCCATCTCTTAAAGCAAACCATTATGACGATTTTTCTCGTAAAACATCTATCGATAATTTTTGGTATTGCTCAATCTGGTATGAAATCTCGTCCTTTATGGAGGTTAATAAGAACCCATGCATCAGTTCTGATAGACTTCCCGGTGAATTAATGTTGGGGTCAGCTAATCCTTGTTGCAAAATAATGCTAATTCTTGTGAGCATGGACTAATTGTTACAACTGATAGGATAAATGTGATTAGGTTATAGCAGGTATAGTAAAAGTATTATAGGGAATAAGTAAGTGTTTTAGCTGTAGAATAATGCATTGTTCTGTCAAATTGTAAGTAGTTTGAACATTTTTTTATTTACTTGAATCGAAGGGTCATCGTGTCCGGTGCATTTGAGGTAGCTGACGACCTCATGGTAGCAAAGGATCCTGTCGTGATTGCAGTCCATCCTGTTGAACATCTCCCGAAGACGCCGTTTCTTCTCAGCAGTTGTAATTCGAACGGCCATCTAGCATTATCCTCCTGCCGAGCAGGCTGGGCTGGCTACAAACAGCTGGTTAGATGAGAATCCCGTGGGCTAAAGGTGGTTAGGCAAGACAGAACTGTATTCAAAAGTCCAATTTTAAGAGTTCTCAGTGAAAAGTAATACTTGTAGCAGTTGGAGTCGAGTTCTCCGGACGAAGATAACTAGTTTATGCTCACCTCGTGTCTTTAGGTGCCAAGAGATTGTGTCAACAACTCTGGCTTGCTGGTTCTAGTGAAGGTATGAAGGTGTGGTAGTGAAGGTGGATTGTAAGACGTTGATTTGGGTGTGTAGACGATTGGACGAGGCCAGCACAAGTGCGAAGTAGCGTTGAAACCAATCGGTCACTTGTCACAAATGTGCAGGGTTGACGCCCTCGAAAGGTGTTTATCATCGGTGCAAAATCGGATCTAAGAGAACCAGCAACCACAAGGCTGGCACGTGAGAAGTTGAGCCGAATTTCACCGACGAATTGTCGGAACGCTACCAATTCACACTA